GCTCTTCTAGACGGATTAGGCACTGAGTTGGCTTCTTAAGGTCTTCTTGAAAGAAAGGCACAACGATCGCCAACGCTTCGCCCGAACGGGCCGTTCCGTCAAATACGACCGAAACCTCTTTTATAATAATAATAATAAAGGTCTTTATTAAGATTTATTGTGCAAACACACATGCAACAATTAACATGAATAGAGTAAATAAGGAAAAAGAAAAAGTATTAATTACTATTGAAAAGACATCTATTAATAAAAGCTGATTTAAAATGGCTTCTGTAAACCTTAGGTAAAATATAATTGATGCGAACTAGCTCTCAACTGCCGTGTTCTCTGGGGTGGTAAGAGATCATTCAACGCAGTGTTGGTGGAAGAGATCCTTTGCCATAATTTCTTATCTCTCTTACGACGGATATCCAAGATACTGTGCTGCTTTGAGCAGTAACCCAGCTTATAACACTTGGCAAAGAGCTTATCAATTCTACTTAAATATTTACTATAAAAAGCACACCCCCAGACCTCAATAGCATATGTAAAATCTGAAAGGATCAAAGGTTTTTCAATCTCATTCTTGATGGATCCAAGAGCAGTCCTTATCCCTCGAACACATCTGATGCCGCCGACCCCCACTAGATTATATCAACTCTACTAAGCATGTTAAGCTGGAAAGTGTTTGTGAGGGATTTTCCAATATTGTTGGTGTTGATACCCTAATTTTTTTCAGTTGAGTCTCGATGCTAATCCTGAATAGCTTTGGTTTTGTTTTACTTCGCTTTGTGATTGGTCTAAAAAAAACCTCGATAACCCGCCACTCAAACCAATCAAACACAAAACTAAAACCAGTCCTTTCGTGGTCAGTGGCGTTTCCCGCGCTTCAACCGGCCTGGTTACCCGTGTTTACTTTCGAGTTCTCACTGGCTAGTGATGATGTCAACCTTTGCTATGATTAGCTGTTGTCATTACTTTGGTTTTGTTTCTCGACGCGTGATCGAAACACGCTCTGATCAAGTGACCGACTTCACCAACTGCTAATTTCATCTATATATCCAGATTTCATTTTTCCGCGCAAACGAACGTCCTGGTAAGGTATAGCTTCAATCATCAGGTGACTCACTCGAAAGTTCGCTTTGCAGGAAATATTAGAAAGACTTTAACACTGGATTGGTTCCAACAGTCTTTTATTTGAGCATGACTACCTTGGTTTACAGAAGCAGTAAATGTAACTTAAATATTACAATACGTAGTACAACTGTTGGCTTTTGAAGAAGAGTTTTAATCTTTTTTTTTTTTTTTTCTGTCTGGTAGATGCGATTAAAATAACTTGAAGGAGTGATATAACGAGAACCAAGATGGACGTCGCATGAAGGTGCTTTAAAATGCTTTAAATTGCTTTATCTCTCTTCAACAATATAAACTCGTGAATTTAACTTACTGCTTTTAGTTTAGGTACTTAGGTTAAAGACCACGTGATAAGATAGTTTTGTTTTGGTCGGGCTGGTCGGAGCACGTTTAACTTTAACTCTAAGTTGGCAAGAAAACAACGCGCTATTTTCCCTTTATAGTGAAATCTGGACGAGTAGCATGATTCGAGAAGCCCGAACCTCAAAGGAAGTCTTTTTCGCTACAGTCAACGGCCTTACCGGTTACTTTTTCGCCCGCAAGCACAATGACGAACCCAGTCTGATTTGTTACGTTTAAATATGCAATGTAGAATTCAGCAGCTTCAATTTTGGGAGTTTTCAACCGTAAGCACCTAAGATCAGACTGAGTACGTTTTCAGGGGTCGAACGATTAGAAGTTGGAATTTTCAATTTTCTAGCCTATTCATTTGTAGTTTATTTTCATCAGGAGACAGTTATCTTTGTTACCTCGCTTTTGATCAAAATCTATGACTACCAACTTACAGCCATGCAAGGATTTTCACTTCAACTCTCCCGTTGTGTGCTCATTATACTCTACACGGCCAAGAGGGACAAGGAAATCTTCGGCCGATTGGTGTTTCTTGACCATATGATGCGTAAGGAACAGCATGAACTAAATGTTTCTCAATACACTAGTACATATTGGCTCTCCTTTATCTGAAAGCTCCTTATTACAGAGAAGTAAAGACCTATTTGATATACAGTAAATGTGAAATGAGTAAATAGAGAATATGTTTTAGGCTGCGCTGTTTTGAAAGCGTCTCTTTATATGAAATTTTTGAGAATTTGCAATTTTCTTAGTTGATGAATTTTCATTTCCACCTGTCTGTTAATTTCACGATATGCAAAGCTTGTTTAGCGAAGTTACCTGCAGTGCTATGGACAGGTCAAAGGGTTAATTGGTTTTCAACCCATTTATCTTGTTCACGTTGGCAGCCAAAACTTTATTGTAGGCATTCACTGCATCATGGATTTTTTTCAAGCAGTTCTCCGGTAATTTCGTATGAGATGCTGCCACCTCACATCGGAACTCTAGCAAAAAACGTCCTAAAAGAAGATAAGTCTCTTCCGAGAGTTTCACGTTACTTCTTTTGTATCGTAGTAAAAGGTTTATCGCGAGCTCTGGGTCATTAATTGATCCAAAGTCTAGCAATCCACCTCTGTCTTTCTTTGGCAGACGGGTACGGCGGATCACTCGCATGGCGTCAAACATCCTCGACAGGTACTTGCTCATCTTCATCAAGCATTTCGCCAGGCCTATATCTCCACAGTGTTGGTACTCCTTATTTGCCTCTCCCCAGTTTTCAATCATCGATACCCACAGGTCGTACGTTGATAGCGGCGTGTAATATTGACACGTGGTGATCGCATTCATCTGAATGCCCTGGACTACATGTCGAATGGCGCCTCGGGTGTGATATGCCTCTGCAGCGTAGAGCAGGGCTTTGGCGAGGTAAACTGTGAAAGAGCGTAATTGCACATAACATTTGTCAATTCAAGCCTACATATATGATACCAAATCCTCGGGGTCCTACTTTTTTTAATTTAACACAAGGCGCTGAGCGGAAAATGCCGCTTACTTTTGCATTTTTCATCGGTACGTTTCTATTTTGAATGACGTTTCTAAATGCAACGTTACCAAAGTAAAGCGCACGCTCCAATCTAGTCAATTCAGTGTCCACCATTTTCCCATGGGTATACGCAGTTGACGTTGGGCAAATGCAAAGACTAGTTTTCGCGCGCTTGTTTTTCTGGTCAGGTAAGATTTGTTAAAAAAAAAGGGAACTCTTGCTACAATGTATCATGTCATGTTAAAAAACAAACGGTAAGCACCACAGCGTACACTATTTCAACTCAAGAAGCTAGAGTCTCTCTCGGCTATCGCCTCGCCCGACTCTTACACTTTCTTCGTGCTTAGCAACCTCCCGCGCGCATCCATAACTCAATAGTGGGTTCAATAATGTCGGCCGTGGTGTTTACCATTTGTTATTAGTTGCTCACATTACTAATGGGGAGTGTCAACTAAAGTTGAAAGGGTTAGTATCGTAATGAAACAGCTCGCGCATTTTGAATTAGTTTTCTGTGATAAGACAGCTTTTTCATAAACAGTTATTTACATCTCTAGTCTGTCCAATCGATGTCTAATTACCTGTTGATTGCTTGTCGTATCCTCCATACTCTGACATGGTTTGCAGGTACTCCTGGTACTTATTATTGTGGGATGATCTGAACTGAGTCGGTGAAGTCTTATCAGTTTGTCTCAAAGCCTGCTGTTCGTTCATATCTTGAAATGTTTTGAGCCAATGTTGCAAATGTTCTACGGCCCCTACGGCGCCTGCATCTGTCATGTTCTTAATAGCTTCATCTTTCATATCCTCAAAGAAAGCGTTGTTGTACTTGAAGACCTTGTAATAAGCACTGGCCAATTCTTGCATTTTGTACAAATTCATTTGCTCAAGGGTGTGGAGACTGCGAATAAATGAGGAGGGAAGGCTGGGAAACATTGAGGGCATGGCAAATTCCAGAGTGAAGGCGTAAACATTAGTGTCAAATACAAGCTCCGATGGCATTTTAAAGACTTTTTCAAAATATATATTAAATTTCGCAGTGACGGTTCCAGAATCTTTTCCAATAAGCCCAACGTCGTAGTCTGACTTGTACGTGGCGCTGCCATAAGGTTTAGGAAAACACACTCCACTCTTGGGGATCTCCCAGCTCAGTGGAATGTCGGTGTAACTGTCTCTCTTTTCTTTGCAAGCTTCTAACTTCTCCTCACTTACACGCCGGAGAATGTCAGTAACTACGAGATACCTAGCGGCTGTAACATTAAGTATCATTTCTGGCTCCTTTACTCTGTCTTGTATAAGTTTCCAAGGTTCAGGCCCCGCCGAGGCAAATTGAAAAAAAAATTTCTCAGCCCTCTTTGCTACTGCCTTGAATTTTTCTGTTTTAATTGCATCCTGAAAGGGTGGTTGGAACGTCCATGCGGAATCCTGTGGGTGTTTTTCAAACTTGTATTCCTCTACGATATCCGCTTTCATCCAACCGATTTCTTGTTCTATAAACTCGGTACTGGGCACAAGAGATCTGTAATGGAATAAAACCAATGTTTTTCACCCCGTGTCGCGAAAGTGGGACAGGAAAAAATATTTGAGTACCATAAGGAATCCAAGTTAATGCACTGAATTTTGGCGAAGGTACCGATATAGCATTGCCCAAACTGAGTTATAAAATTATGCTTAATAGGTACGCTTTACTTAGTTTAATTTAGTTTAATTTAGTCCATTTTCACTGCATTCAGTTTTGCAGTGGGGAAGGACTAGAAAGGAACATAGGAACCATTCGTGCTAGTCCACCCTCCCACCCATCTCACCCCAGGGGAGGACATCCATCACACAGTAATCTCGTGTGTGGGAAATTAACGTCTCCTACCCCAACCCTGCAGGAGACGGGACCTCCATTTATTCGTCCCTATCCGAGAAGACAAGAATATCTAACTATTTCTTGATGTTATAGAAAGGTAGCAAATTCTTCTCAATTATTTTAAGACCCTGAGTGTTGGTCCGGCCG